AGGGGTGGAGGCGCAGCGACTGCTGCACCGCGCTCGGCGCTGCGGAGCGAGCCCACCCGCCCCGGAGCGAGCCCACCCGCCCCGGGAGCTCGCCTCCCGGTGGTCCCCCTCCCTCCCCGCCCCCCCAGTGGCGCTGCCTCCTCCAAATGAGCGATTCGCCCGCTGGATCTAACTCAAGGACACCCGAAAGCAGCGGCAGCGGCGGCGGCGGGAAGAGGCCGGCAGTGCCGGCGGCGGTGTCCCTCTTGCCTCCGGCGGACCCCCTGCGCCAGGCGAACCGGCTCCCTATCAGGGTCCTGAAGATGCTGAGCGCTCACACCGGCCACCTCCTGCACCCGGAGTACCTGCAGCCGCTGTCCTCCACTCCCGTCAGCCCCATTGAGGTCAGTCCCCTGGTCGCTGCCCGCCCTGCGCCGGCCCCATTGCGCCCACCACTGCCGGGCCCACGGCCCTGCTCCCTGCGCCCCGGGGCTCGGTGCGACGCTCAGATCCGGCCACACTGGCGGACGGAGTGAGGAGGGACGGAGAACAGAGGGGTTAGAGCCCACCCGGTTCTCCCCAGGCTTCTCCGGGAAAGGTTCCCCTCCCACACTCGCCCTTCGGAGCTACGTGTTTTCTCTGGGATTGGGTTTGTTCTTGGAGTCTCCCCTGGGTCCTTTACTTCTCCTGGGATTGGGTTTGTTCTTGGAGTCTCCCCTGGGTCCTTTACTTCTCCCAGTGTCCAGGCCAGAGATGATCTCTCGTGGGCCTTTTCCGCCCGCCCCCCCCCCCACCCCTCCACCCGGGTTTGTTCTCTCTGAAGCCCGATCGCCCCCGTCCCACGCCGCCTCTGTCCCATCCGGTTAGAGTGCACTACGCCCAGGCACTCCCGACCCCAGGTCTTTCTTCCTCCTACTTGCCTGGGTGCCTCCCCGGGAGGGAGGGGCTACGAAGAGAGCGCCAACGGCAGCCCTGGCTTCAGAACGCGCTTCTCCTAGCTCCTACCCCGCGGCGCCACCGCCAGAAACCCGTCCCAAGCGAAGTTACCCAAACTGAAGGAATAAGTTTTAACCCGGGCCTAGAGGCGGGGAGATGAGAGGGCAGGAGTCGAGTCACAGCCCCTCCCCCAGCCCCGAATCCAGAGAGGTCACCTTCTCCCGCGGTGGCCTTTGGTGGACTGCTTCCACTGCCCATTCCCTGGCGCCTGCGGCGCACTCCGGGACCCGGTGGAGCGAGGGATCCCACCGACGGGCAGTGTGAGCGCAGTTCCGCCCAGCTGCGCCGCCCGCCCGCCAGGCCCTCGCAGACCCTCTCCCCGAGGCCCTCCCGCCCCGTCGCGCCGCCTTGCGTGCTCCCCGCGCCCACCCCCCTCCCCTGGCGCCCCGCTCGCTCGCTCCGTGGATCTCTGGTCTCACCCTCGTCTCCCTTCCCTTACCACTGTCTCCCACAGCTGGACGCCAAGAAGAGTCCTTTGGCGTTGCTGGCCCAGACTTGCTCGCAGATCGGCAAGCCGGACCCGCCGCCCTCGTCCAAGCTCAACTCGGTAGCGGCGGCCAACGGGCTGGGAGCGGAGAAGGACCCTGGCCGCTCGGCCTCGGGCGCCGCCTCAGCGTCTGCGGCGCTCAAGCAGCTGGGGGACTCCCCGGCCGAGGACAAGTCCAGCTTCAAGCCCTACTCCAAGGGCTCCGGAGGCAGCGACTCTCGCAAAGACAGCGGCTCTTCCTCCGTGTCCTCCACCTCCTCCTCCTCCTCCTCCTTGTCCCCGGGAGATAAGGCGGGCTTCAGGGTCCCTAGCGCCGCCTGCACGCCTTTTCCCCCGCATGGAGCGCCGGTCTCGGCGTCGTCGTCCTCGTCCTCCCCCGGCGGCTCCCGGGGCGGCTCCCCGCACCACTCTGACTGCAAGACCGGCGGCGGGGAGCTGGACAAGAAAGACCAGGAGCCCAAGCCCAGCCCGGAGCCTGCGGCCGTGAGCCGAGGCAGCGGTGGGGAGCCGGGCGCGCATGGCGGCGCCGAGGCCGGGGCCTCCGGCCGCAAGTCGGAGCCGCCCTCCGCGCTGGTGGGGGCCGGCCACGTGGCGCCGGTGTCGCCCTACAAGCCGGGCCACTCGGTGTTCCCGTTGCCACCCTCCAGCATCGGCTACCACGGCTCCATCGTGGGCGCCTACGCCGGCTACCCGTCTCAGTTTGTGCCTGGCCTGGATCCGAGCAAGTCTGGCCTCGTGGGAGGCCAGCTGTCTGGGGGCCTGGGCCTGCCCCCGGGCAAGCCCCCCAGCTCCAGCCCGCTCACCGGAGCCTCCCCGCCATCCTTCCTGCAGGGATTATGCCGCGACCCCTACTGCCTGGGAGGTTACCACGGCGCCTCGCACCTCGGCGGCTCCAGCTGCTCCACCTGCAGCGCGCACGACACAGCTGCGCCTGGCCTGAAGGCGGGGGGCTACCCGCTGGTGTACCCCGGGCACCCGCTGCAGCCCGCCGCGCTCTCGTCCAGCGCCGCCCAGGCCGCCCTCCCCGGCCACCCGCTCTACACCTACGGCTTCATGCTGCAGAACGAACCGCTGCCGCACAGCTGCAACTGGGTGGCGGCCAGCGGGCCGTGCGACAAGCGCTTCGCCACCTCGGAGGAGCTGCTCAGCCACCTACGGACTCACACGGCCCTGCCCGGCGCCGAGAAACTTCTGGCCGCCTATCCGGGGGCCTCGGGCCTCGGCAGCGCCGCTGCGGCCGCTGCGGCGGCCGCCTCCTGCCATCTGCACCTCCCCCCGCCGACCGCCCCCGGCAGCCCCGGGTCCCTGTCCTTGCGGAGTCCACACACTTTGGGCCTAAGCCGGTACCACCCTTATGGCAAGAGCCACTTATCCACAGCCGGGGGCCTGGCCGTGCCGTCCCTCCCCACAGCTGGACCCTACTACTCACCATATGCGCTGTACGGACAGAGACTGGCCTCAGCCTCCGCGCTCGGATACCAGTAACTACAGCCCTGCTTCCCTCCCCAGCCTCCTCTCCTCCCCGCTGCCGCCTCCCTTCCCCACCCGCCTCCCTGCCTCCTCCACCACTGCTTGTCCCCGCCGGACCCCCGCCCAGACCCCACCCCCACCGGACTGTGTATTTATTTACTGTAATGTTAGCTTACAAGCTGGGAATATAAGTGCATTAACGGCCCACACGAGTCAATGGTATGCAAAGAGTCTGTTCCCCCCAAATAATAATATTAATCACACAGGTAACTACATGTCCCTGGTCCCTTTTCCTTTCTCTTCCGTTTTTTCTTTTACTTAGATGTAAGTTTCCGATTTTTTTTTCCCTTTTGCGCTTTTTTTAAATTTTTTTGATTGGTTTGGTTGTATGGGGAGGAGAGGGAGTTGGGGGTTCTTTTTGTTTTCCCTTCCTGGGGAATTTCTTGCATGCTTCTTAACCATTCAAACTACACTTCCTCCTTCTCTTCCCCCCTCCTTTCCCCTTCATTCCTTCTTGTTTCCATCCTTTTGAGGTTCTGTTTTTTTCCTTTGTACGAGTAACAGAGAGGAGGTATTTTTTGTAAAGCATTTGGGGGTGCAGGGAGCGGCCTTGGGAGCTAGAGGTCTTGCCCTCTTATGGACCTGGAACTTTGCTCTGTGACCCCTGCCCTGCCACTCTCTCCCTAGGCTCCTTGGTCTGCGCCCTGGCCCCCCAAACTAGAGCCTTGCTCCCCAATCTTGCTCTGAGCACGGGTCAGTGGCCGGAGAGGCGCCTCCAACAGAGCCTTTCTCCTCCCAGACTCTTCCAGGCCCCAGACACCAGGTGGTCACACTGCCTGATGGTGAGAGGCCCGCAGGGCTCACCTCACTGAAGTAGAAGTTCTAGAAGGCCCTACTGGCATGGAACTTTGCTCTTTATAGTTTAGTTTGCAAAGTGCTTTTATAGTCATTGTTTTTCTCTGGCTATTGTGGCTGTGGTCCCTGTCCTGGTGATGGGGGCTGGGTGGGTGATTCTTGCTAGATCCTTCCAAAGCAGACCAGTGGTAGTATCAGCTGGCAGCACAGCCTTGTTAGCACCATTGGGGGAGTTAGGGAGCGCACGGATCACAGCAACCCCGGTGGCCCCCTCCCAGGCCTGACCCAGGAGTCCCCAAAGTTGGCCGTGGGCTCCCTCAGTTACTGGGATTGAAGGCTCGGCCCCGGGGTCTTCACCCAACACCCTCCCTCCCTCCCTCCCGGCCTTATGCAGCTGCGCAAGGGCTGCGGGGCCTGTTTGGGATGAATAGAGCTCTCCCTTGGTAAGACTTATTTTGTTAATAAATGGAGTACTTGGCTATATTCACACCGTGGTGTGTTTCTCTCTTGCCTGCCCCACTGACCCACTTCCAGACGCCTAAGCAGATGCCCTTCTTTTGTTCTTGTTTAAAACACCTTATGGTTTCCTTCTCAGATTTCCGTTCAAGGACGAGTTTAATGCCTTTCCTCAAGAAAGCAGGGGAGAAGAAAACAAAACTTATGCCAACGCGTTACAAATAACATAAAACGGCCCCTTTTTTTCCAACTTGGTTATTTAGCTCCCAGCCTCACTTCGAAGGCCTTGCCATTTTCTGGGGACAGGGTGGAGGGAGTGTGTAAATGTGGATTTTCCTCTGGGCCTAGATTCGAGGTCCAGGGGCCGAGAAGGGAACCAGGCAGGCCCCAAGACCAAGAGACTCGGCAGCACCGCCCCGGAGCCCTGCGGGCGAGCAAAGACGACGTGCCTCTGGCGCCACCAGGTGGCGGAAAGGCGAGCGACTGTCGCCAGCCCCGACCGCGCCTTCCGCGCTTCGCACTCCAAATGGGGAGGATTTCCTCTCCCTGACGGTGCCTTTTATACACCTTGAAGCTGAAGGGTAAATGCACCTGTTGAGAAGGGTGCTTCTCAAGGCTTGGGGACTCCCCAAGGCCAGCTCTGGATTGTGGACCCCAGTCGTCTGCGCCCCCAGAGACTGCTCTGAGCATGGTTTGGGTTTTGTGGAGAAGGCGCGGCGATTACTCGGGACCTGGAAGCCACCCTCGGTGCCCGTTTTCTTGAGCTTGCACGATTGACACCGGCTTCTGCATCCTCGGGCAGGCCAGAGTTGGGGTGCCGTTTATCGAGATGGTGGGAGAGGGCCGGGGCACCTCCCCATTGCCCGGGGAGTCCGCGGGCCGGAGGAGAGGGCCGTGCGGGCCCGGGGCCTGTGCGTCCTCCCCGGGCTAGAGGCGACCCCCCCCCCCCGGC